CATGGATTATCAGATCTTCTTGGATCTCTCTGATAAGCAAAACCACGTGTAACCTACCCAGATATAATTATGTCTGACAACAACAACAAAAAACTTACACCTTAATTTTACATGCACTGGCTTAGAAGTAGTTAGAAAAGCTGGATGTGCACAAGGTTTGGCTCATTGCTGTTTGTGATGGGTTGTAGCTTTCCTCACACCCTCAGGGGTTGCTTGCATTACAAGCTCAAACAAGATTTGGAAATGAACAGTGGGGAAGTAACTTGTGCAACTTTGGTTTTCTGGATTAGAATATAATTTCGAAATTCATACTGTAGTCTGGGCACAGTTTCACATTCAACACTGGAAAGACAAGCTGCATTTTCCCATTGTGTTTTTTTAACAGGATGAGACAATAAAGTGCTTTTTACCATGAGTATTTTTTAAAAGCTTTCTCTTGAATGACACTGAAATTGGTATATGTGGTTGGGGGGGAGCTTCTGAAACAGGTAAACTGTTGTAAAAACTGGCATTTGTTTCTTGAATTATATTGTTTCCTGATTTATTTTAGTTGTTTTTTGGACCAATGACAAAGACATCTTAGCTGGTGTCAGCTTTGCTCTAGTCTTCAGACTACAGCTCTTGGTGATGACGTGTTCCCTGGTGCCCACAGATTCTCTGCTGCTGGTGAGTCATCACCATCTCCCTTTCTTTGAGCACTCAAAAAGTTGTTTTTTGAGAAAAAACCAAGATGAGCCTTATTTAAATTTCCCTAAAGCTGCTGGTACTTATGTTTTTTCTGCAGTCTGTGACAGTAGTTTGGAACAGTGTAGTTACACTGTGGGTGCAATCACAGCTTCCTGTACTCTGCACGAGTTTGACTCTTTGTTGAAAGAGCTGTGTGAGATGTGTCTTAGCAGGAAACTGCTCATGGTCAGGAGGAAACTCAGAGATGTGGATGTTGATTAGGATAATCACATGTCTCACTTGCAGCAGTTGTAGTGTCTGTGGAGCCCAGTGAGGCTGCACCGCCAGAGAGGACTTTTTTTACTTTGTACAATTGGCCAAAGCTCCACTTTAAATTCAACATTTATTGTGAATAACATCTGCAAGTGTTTATTTCTGAAAAGGGCACAAGGTGCCTTATCCCAGTTATATCTCACTCCAGCTATTTCAAATGAGGAGCTACCACTTGAACCATAAGTGCAAAAAATACATTCTAAGAATCACAATATTTCGAGGTCGCCTGATTATTTTTGTTTTAAAGAGCTGTATTTGGGCATCTCACCTCAGATGAGCTCATGTTCATATGACTAAGTATCCCCTGGAATCCCATGAAACAAGAGAATTTTGAAGATAATCCATGTGGATCTTAGAGTACATAGAAAAACTGGCTGTAGAACAAGAAAAACAGTCTCAGTTTTATTTGCAGAGGCTTTATCTGAGAAGGTCTGTTCACTTTTACCACGTTCCTTTGCTGCCTTCCTGCTTCACATGCACACACAGGAAAAACGTGCCATGGATGTACTGTTCATCCCATCTGTCTCAGAGGAGAAGAGTCTGTGAGTTGTTCCAGGTAGTGATTTAGCTCACAGGAGTGATTTTTAAATTTTGCTGTATGTAAAGTATGTTGCTGGCAAAATGTTCGTTCTTGGCACTGTGCAGTGGGGGAAGGAGGGAAAGCAAGTGGGCATTCACATCTTCCTCTCCCAAATCCTAAAAACTTGGAGTGTACCTGTCCTGAATCCTCTCCCTGAATCCCCTAGGAGGAGGTTTTTCTTATATATATGTACAAGAATATATGTGTATATATATATAAGAATATATGTATGTATTTCTGAGATTTCATGCTTAGGGCTACATGCAGCTCAGGCCAACATATGTTATCATATCTTCAAAGAACTTTTGCTACAGTAGGGACTACCCAAAACCTTGGTTAAGCTGGACCACACACAGAAAATCAAAACTGCCCAAAAGCTCAGTGTTTGTATTGTATAAATAATTTAGTAGCCTGAGGAAGAGGAGAATAGTGACTGTATAGACTGAGCAAGGTAGAGAGGAGGTTAAGGCAGCTGTCACCTCATTAGTGAGCACATTTTTTGAGAAAACCAGAGGTTGTAGATCATCTCCATCTAAAAATATTGAGAGAATTAAATATGGAATTACAAATGTGGTCTGAGGATTTTTGAGTGATGTCTGAATTCTGGGATCTGGGCAGGAGAATGGCAAATCTGGGGACTGTGCTCAAAAACTGTGACATAAGCTGGCAGAGGCAGCACAGCTCCAAGTGTGATCCCAACCACAGGGAAAGTTTTAGAACAGCTTCTGAGGGAGAAAAAACTGATGAACAAAGAGGTGACCAGAAAGTGTTAGAAATTACACCAGGGGTTGTCACGAGAATATACTATCAGGTAAGTCTTCCTCTTGATGAGAAAATGAATTTCCTCACCAGAGGCAATAGAGCAGAGTTCATTAACTGGAGCCATAACTCAAAGTACATCACTGAACATGGGAATGAGGGGATTCCTGCAGGAATTCTGTGGAGCAGGCTGGGGCAGCAGGGCATCTTTTTGTTTTCTTTTTTTGTACATTAAATGCCATATTCTCAAGGTGTTGGAGGGGAGTCTCTTTTTTTTCCGCTGGTTTTCTGGAATCTGATCCTCGCATGTACATTCCATAGTAACAAGTAAATGTACATATTTACTCACTAGACGTGTGCCTGTGTATGTATACATTCATATATACACATTCGAGTAGTCAAATGAATAAGCAATAGTAAACAGGTGCTTATTATTGCTTATTCATTTGACCACTTGAATATGTATGTCTGTGTATATATATATAAATCATAGAAGGGTTTGGGTGGGAAAGGACCTTAAAGCTCATCTTGTTCCACCCCCTGCCAAGGGCAGGGACAACTTCCTCTATCCCAGGTTGCTCCAAGTCCCATCCAACCTGGCCTTGGAAAAGGCTTCCAGGGGTGGGGCAGCCACAGCTTCTCTGGGCAACCCGTGCCAGGGCCTCACCACCGTCATAGTAAAGATTTTTTTCCTACTATCCTATCTAAACCTACAGTCTTTCAACTGGAACCCCTTCCCTCTTGTCCTGTCCCTACACACTCTGCACATGAGCACACCTGGCTGTGTGCTTGGGTCATTGGAGAGCAGGGCAGGGCTGGTGTGGCAGTGCAGGGGACAGGACGGTCCTACAACATCCCAGAATACCACCCTTCCGGGCTGGAAGGGCCCACAGCGGCTCATCTGGTCCCACCTCCCCATTCCAGCAGGGCCATCCCAGAGCACACGGTACAAGATTGTGTCCAGAAGGTACTGGAATATCCCCGGGGAGGAGACTCCACCCTCCCTCTGGGCACCCTGTTCAGTGCTCGGTCACTGTACGGGGAAGAAGTTCTTCCTCGTGTCCAGATGGAATTTCTGGGCATCAGTTCCTGCCCCTTCCTCCTGTGCCATTGCTGGGCCCATCCGAGCAGAGCCTGTTCCATCCTCTGCCCCCTCCCTGGAGATATTTATACACATGGATGAGTTGTCTCCTCTGGAGGCTGAACAGCCCCAGCTCCCTCAGCCTTTCCTGGTAGAGATGCTCCAGTCTCTCCCCCATCTCCAGTCCCTCTCCCATCTCCAGTCTCTCCATCATCTCCAGTCCCTCTCCCATCTCCAGTCCCTCTCCCATCTCCAGTCTCTCCATCATCTCCAGTCTCTCCATCATCTCCAGTCTCTCCCCCATCTCCAATCTCTCCAGTCTCTCCCCCATCTCCGGTCTCTCCATCATCTCCAGTCTCTCCCCCATCTCCAGTCCCTCTCCATCATCTCCAGTCTCTCCCCCATCTCCAGTCTCTCCAGTCCCTCTCCCATCTCCAGTCTCTCCCCCATCTCCAGTCCCTCTCCCATCTCCAGTCCCTCCCCCATCTCCAGTCCCTCCCCCATCTCAAGTCCCTCTCCCATCTCCAGTCTCCTCCGCAGCCTGCGCTGGCCCCTCTCCAGGTGCTCCATGTCCCTGCTGTGCTGAGGAGCTAGAGCTGGACCCTGCACCCCAGCTGTGCCTGACAGGGCCAAGCAAGGGGAAGGGTGCTCTCCCTATCCCCACAGCAGCCCAGAGCCCAGACCTACACAGTGTTTGGGGTCCTGGTGGTGTTTGGGGTCCCATCAGTGTTTATTTGGGGTCCCAGAGGTGTTTATTTGGGATCTCTGGGCTCAGGAGTGCTTGTTTGAGGTCTCTGAGCTCAGGGGTATTTATTAGGGGTCTCTGGAGTCAGTGTTTATTTGGGGTCCCAGCAGTGTTTATTCGGTGTCTCTGGGGTTGGTGTTTTTCGGCATCACAGCAGTGTTTTTGGGATCATAGTGATGTTTCTTGGGATCACAGCAGAGTTTATTTGGGATCACAGTGGTATTCATTTGGGACCCCAGCAGTGTTTTGGGGACCCCAGCGTTGTTTTTGGGAACCCAGCGATGTTTTTGGGACCACAGCAGTATTTATTTGGGACCCCAGCGGTGTTTTGGGGATCCTAGCAGTGTTTTTGGGATCACAGCGGGGGTTACTTGGGATCCCAGCAGTGTTTTGGGGATCCCAACGGTGTTTATTTGGGATCCCAGCGGTGTTTATTTGGGATCCTAGGGGTGCTTATTTGGGATCCCAGTGCTGTTTTGGGATCACAGCAGTGTTTCTTTGGGATCTCAGCGGTGTTCTGGGGATCCCAGCTCTGTTTTGGGGATCCAGCAGTGTTTTTTCGGATCCCCGTGGTGTTTCTTTGGGATCCCAGCTGTGTTTTGGGGATCCAGCAGTGTTTTTTCGGATCCCAGTGGTGTTTATTTGGGATCCCAGGGGTGGTTTTGGGATCCCAGTGTCGTTTTGGGGACCCCGGCGCTGTTTATTCGGGCCCCCAGCCGCGCTCCCCGATCCCCCCTCAGGGGCCGCTCCCGCCCCGCCCGCCAGGGGGCGCGGCGCGCAGGCGGCTCAGCCGATGGCCGATGGCGGGGGCGGGCAGGCCGCGCAGCCGCGCGCCGATGTGCGCGGGGGCCATGGCGCTGTGGCGGGGGCTGCGCTGCTGCCGCCGCGCCCTCGCCTGGCTGCCCGTGCTGCTCATCGCGCTGCTGCTGCTCTGGTCCTACTACGGATACGTCTGCGAGCTCTGCCTCGGTGAGCGCCCGGCGCGGGGAGAGGGGCCCGCCCGCCCCGGGCCCGCCCTGAGCCGGCGGGTCCCTGCGGGGCTTCGCCGGGCCGGGGCTGCGGGCGATCCCCCCCCGCCCTCCTCCTCCTCATCCTCCTCCTCCTCCTCCTTATCATCATGTTCCTGTTCCCCCTTCTTCTCTTCTTCTTCCTCCTCCTCCTCCTCCTCCTCCTCATCTTTCTCCTTCTTCCTCTTCCTCCTCTTCCTCCCCCTGCTCCTCATCCTTCTCCTTCTCCTCTTCCTCCTCTTCGCCTCCTCTTCTTTCTCCTCCTCCTTCTCCTCTTCTCATCCTTCTCCTCCCCGTCGTCGCCTCTCGCCGGTGTGTCCCGGTGTTCCGTGGGTGTCCCGGTGTGTCCCGGTGTTCCCCCCGGTGTGTCCCGGTGTTCCCCCCGGTGTGTCCCGGTGTGTCCCGGTGTTCCGTGGGTGTCCCGGTGTTCCGTGGGT